CCAATCTCAAATTCAGTTCTCCACATTTTCACATCTGTTTTGAGATTTTTAAAATTTAAGTTATCATTAAAATGCACCGGCACATTAATTTCTCCTAATGCATATGTCCCTTTGTATTCAGATTTGTCCAACATACACATGTCCGCAAAGTATATTTCCCCTAATATTATGCTTTCCTTATGTTATTTTCACTATTGGATGCAGACTTTTCTGATTCCGTCTGGGGCAGAATTCCCCTTTGCTCCCCTTGCAAACAAAACAACGGGGAGGGGATGCCTGAACTGTACAGTGGTACCTCGGGTTAAGAACTTAATTTGTTCTGGAGGTCCGTTCTTAAGCTGAAACTGTTTTTAACCTGAGGTACCACTTTAGCTAATGGGGCCTCCAGCTGCCTCCGCACAATTTCTGTTCTCATTCTGAAGCAAATTCTTAACCCGAGGTATTATTTCTGGGTTAGCGGAGTCTGTAACCTGAAGTGTCTGTAACCCGAGGTACCACTGTATTTTTAACACTGACTGGCAGCGGCTTTCCACCTTTTTAAGCAGGAGTCTCTCCCTGAGCCCTGCCTGGAGATGCTGGGGACTGAACCTGAGATGTTCTGCTTGCAATGCAGCTATGCTCTGCCACAGATCTACAGCCTTTCTCCTTTACGCAAGACCAGAACAGAAGGACTTTGGTCAGATCCTGCAAGTCAGTTCCTTGAAAAGGAACGCTCTCTGTTGCAAGCCAGCTGTTGCATAACAAACGAAACAGCCGTTCCCAGAGTTACACAAGCAAGTCTTGCCCGTGCAATGTGCCTGGAGGACAGAGCAGAAAGCACTTCTAGGAGAGAGGCATGTGCTGCTTTGCTGAGGCCAGGATCGCGGTGTCTTTCCACCCCCTCCAGACAGCCTCTCCCAGCCATCCTCCCACTTCTACCATGCTCATTAAACAAATACACCTAATGCCAAATTAAGGGGAAAATAAGCTTTTTTAAAAGAGAGAGAGAGAGACAAATGAAGAGAAAGATCTCTGTGTATCTGTCTGGGCCTGTCAGCCAGCATTTTCCCGAAATTTCAGATAGCCGAGGGTGAATAAAGAAAGCAGCTCTGACTTTCTCTCTCTTTTTTTGCAGCCTAAGGCCATAGCTTAGTAGCAGAACACCTGCTTTGCATGCAGAAGGTCCCAAGTTCAATCACCCATGGCATCTCCAGATAAAGCTGGAAGAAACTTCCTGGAGAGTCACTGCCAGTCAGTATGGATGGTGTATTTTTGTGAACCAATTAAATCTTTGTGTGGTTTTTTTTTTTTAAATTGAGCGGTATATAAATTTTGTTAAACAATAGATACGGCAATACTGAGTTAGATAGACTAATGGCCCAACTCAGCCGAAGGCAGATTCCTGTGTTCATTTAAACCCTGCTTGCCATTCTTTTACAAAACCAGTGACATTTATTAATACAACAACAAAAGGAAACTATTATTATGTAGGTGACTCCCTGCTTGAGGAAGGCTCTCCCTGGGGAAGATTGCCTGCTGCTGTCATCACATAGCTTTAGGAGCCAGACAAGAATATTTCTTTTCTGGTAGGCCTTGGCCTTTGGCTCTAAATAATCTTAAAAAGCAGAGACATCACCTTGCCAACAAAGGTCCATATAGTTAAAGCCATGGTTTTCCCAGTAGCGATGTATGGAAGTGAGAGCTGGACCATAAAGAAGGCTGATCGCCAAAGAATTGATGCTTTTGAATTCTGGTGCTGGAGGAGACTCTTGAGAGTCCCATGGACTGCAAGAAGATCAAACCTCTCCATTCTGAAGGAAATCAGCCCTGAGTGCTCACTGGAAGGACAGATCGTGAAGCTGAGGCTCCAATACTTTGGCCACCTCATGAGAAGAGAAGACTCCCTGGAAAAGACCCTGATGTTGGGAAAGATGGAGGGCACAAGGAGAAGGGGACGACAGAGGACGAGATGGTTGGACAGTGTTCTCGAAGCTACCAGCATTAGTTTGATCAAACTGCGGGAGGCAGTGGAAGGCAGGAGTGCCTGGCGTGCTCTGGTCCATGGGGTCATGAAGAGGCGGACACGACTAAACAACAACAATAAATCTGTGGCCTGTGTTCTAAGAAATGGTACACAAGTTCAATTCCCCCACCTCTGCCCTCGCTGGCCCTTTCCCCTTGGGTGTCTTTTGTTTGTTTTTGTTTTTTCAGATTGTAAGCCTGAGGGCAGGGGGCATCTTGTTTTAATCGATTGTACATAAGCCACTCTGAAGAATATACAAAGAGACCTTGGACAGGCCAACGGCCTGTGCAGTCCAGCACTCTGTCCTCGCAGTGGAGACCCCAATGGGAAGCCTGCAAGCAATGGCAATTCTCCCCGCTTGCAATTCCCAGTAGCGAGTATTCAGAGGCAGACTGCCTCTGACAGTGCAGGGAGAACAGCCACCTTGGCTAGTAGCTACCGGTAGCCTTCTACTCCAGGAATTTGCCTAATCCAAGTTGATGGCTGTTACTCCGTCTCATGGTTCCTGCCATATGTTTTTTAAAAGAACTTTCCAGATTAGTTTGCAGCAATCCACCTCCCTCTGCTACTACAAGAAGAGGAAGGATTCCCTCTGGCCCTGTTAACTTTTTATCCTCCTCTCCCTTCCGCTGTCTAAATTCATTAACATACTTGGATTCTGAAGAGGTGATTTGCTTAACGAGGAACCTTTGCCTATCTGGAGACACAAGCAGGGCCTGGGAGAATCACGGAAGCAGCAGAGAGCATTTTCTGTCCCCTTTCTAGTTCTAGTGGGATTGAGAGAGCAGGGGACGAGAGCCAAGCATTTAATTCACTACCGATCCTTTCCCTGCACAAAGAGCCTTTAAAACTTGAAATGGCTGGAGGACTCATATAAATTCCCCCAGCCTCCAGCTACTAACTGGGAGCAGATAGGAAGCTGTGTTTGGTCCCTGTAGCTCAATATTATAAATTGTTGTACTCTACTGGGTCATTTGGGTGAAGGGCAGACTAATGCTACTACTAATAATAATGGTAATAATATTTTTTAAATTTATATGCAGTTTATATGCCAAAATGGTAAACACATTGACTGGCAGTGGCTCTCCAGGATTTCAGACAGGGAGTCTCACCCAGTGCTACCTGGAGGTGCCATATATGAAGTCCAAGGTGTGTATGTGTGTGGGGGAGGGAGCAAGAGAGAGATGGAGACAATAAGGACTAGAAACTTGGCTGTTTTAAAAAATGTGACTCTCCCATTACCTTTCCCTCGGCTTTGTGAGCCTTTCCCCACTCGCTCATGACGAAGACGTCGTTGACAGACAAGCAGGCGATGACCTCCACTCCTTTGCCCTTCAGCTGTCCTGCCTTCTCCACGTAGCCTGGGAGATGAGTCTGTGTCAGGGTGTGGGTGCAACAGGGAAGAACAAACTATCAGAGACTTTCATGGGGTAGCACATAAAGGGAACAGGGGAATTAGAATAGCAGAAAGCAGCACCAGGGATGGGGAGCCTGCATCTTTTCAGATATTGTTGGATTACAACATCTTTCCTGATGGTTGGCCATGCTGCCTAGGTCTGATGGGAGTTGGGAGTCTACTCATCTGGAGCCTGCATGTTCCCCATCCCTGATGTAGGTCTTCAGGGCAGAAGTTCCTAGGCTGAGAACACACCATTCTTACTAGACCCCACTTCCAATTCTTAGCCTGAGCCAGGCCTGCTTCCCAACCGTGGTTCTGGAGGGTCATATCTGACCACAATGACAGCATTGGTTTGAATGCTAAGATTTTTTACTTAATTCTTTTTTTAAAAAACCATCCTTCATCCAGAAGGCCCCAGGGCTGTTTACAAAAGATTTCTTGTCGTTCTAGCTTTCCTACAGCTCTTGCCAATGTACCATCAAGTTTGGATTCAAAGACTGGGACGGGTGAGGCCCCAAATATACCAGGCCAGGCATGCCGGTTAATGGAATTCTCAACAGATAAAAGACTTGACATGGAAGATCAGCGCCAAGTATCCTGGGCACCTTATGCTACATGATACGGAGAGGGCAGAAGAATCAGACTAAACGCTAACTTTTGTTATTGTATTTCATTTGTTTGTTTTTCTTACCATTATTGTCATTCTGGGGATTTTGTTCATATTTTTTTTGTTATTTATGATCTGCAGCCTTAATAAAGGTGTATTAATTTTTATTTGCAGAATTAATAAAGAATAATTAAAGAAAAAGATTGGGACTGGGCTGGAAGGGTGTGTGGGGAGATGGACACACCCAGGTCTTACTCACTTTTGAACAACCTGGAGTAAACGCACCAGGCACCCCAAACAAGATCCCCTTCTTGCCTGTGAAGAGGCTCGCCACATTCACCTTGTTGCCAGGGTCACCCTCATAGACCTCCACGCTGGGCAACTTGTCTCCAACCTGTCAGAGAGAGGAAAGAGCAGTAATGACCTACACTGGCTCCCAGTACATTTCCGAGCACAATTTAAAGTGTTGGTGCTGACCTTTAAAGCCCTAAACGGCCTCGGTCCACTATACCTGAAGGAGTGTCTCCACCTCCATCGTTCTGCCCGGACACTGAGGTCCAGCGCTGTGGGCCTTCTGGTGGTTCCCTCTCTACGAGAAGCCAAGTTACAGGGAACCAGGCAGACGGCCTTCTTGGTAGTGGCACCCGCCCTGTGGAACGCCCTCCCACCAGATGTCAAAGAGAAAAATAACTACCAAACTTTTAGAAGACATCTGAAGGCAGCCCTGTTTAGGGAAGCTTTTAATGTTTAATAGGTTAGTGTATTTTAGTGTTTTGTTGGAAGCCGCCCAGAGTGGTTGGGGAAACCCAGGCGGATGGGTGGGGTATAAATAATAAATTATTATTATTATAAAGCACACAGGACTCGCCGTCCTCTTAATTCAGGAGGAGGGGAAACCTTTCTCATCCCGAGGGCCACATTCCCTTGTTGGCAACCTTCTGAGGGCCACAAGTAACCCAAACCCTGATCCAGGGGAAAGAGGACACAAAGCTGCAACTTAGTGGGGGAGCATCTGCTTTGAATGCAGAAGGTTTCAGGTTCAATTCCCGGCGTCTCCAGGTCAGGCTGGTGATGTCCCCCCTTCCTGAAACTCTGGAGAGCTTCTGCCTGTCAGTGTAGACAAAACCCAAAGGTCTGACTTGGTATAAGGTGGCTTCCTATGTTCCTATTTTGCTCTGGTGGTGGGGACTCCAAAGTATCAACTGAATTCAGGCCTAACGGATGTGCGTTTCCCTGCAGTTCCATAACCCTAAACATAGGTGGTAAAGCACATCTGCTACGGATCAAGGTTTGGTATTCAAATGGGGCAGACAAGGGAAGGTTAGAGGGATCTCAGATAAAATGTCTCTTCAGCCTTTCTCACCTTTGAAGGACTACAATTTCCATCATTCCTGACCATTATTGCATAAAAAGAAACCTAGAGGTTGTGTTCTATGGGGCTAGGTGCTTTCCCACTGCCCTTCTCCCCCCAAGCTAGCTCCTAGAAAGTCATGTCCCATTTTTATCTGATGGAACTCTAGGAAACCTCTGCTACAGGCACAGCAGAAACATGTAAACCTTTAAGAAATTGAATTTGACTGGCTTAAGTGTGGGCTTAACGTCTGGAGTACTCTTTCCCACTGCATTCCTTGGTTAGACGTTCACTCTTGTACTGGGCGGGGCAGCCCCACAGATCAAGGGCGGCTGCCTTTCTACAGGGTCAGGGATGCACCCAATTTCCCTGAGGCTGGGGTGTCTCTTTCCCATTAGGGCTTGTTATTGCAGAGACCAAGGACTAGTGATCTCAGGAACCATCTGTCCTCAGTGAAGCTGTTCTTCTGCATGGGGGTGAGTGGGCTTGCTCTGTGGGGCTTGAGGAGGTACTCTTTTCTAAAGGTTTTCGATAGCATAGACTCCAGAGCTGGTGGGCTACAGGGAGCTGTGAGGCAGCCTGTTCCCTCCCCCCAGTAAACAGATACCAGACTACTATGAGGTTGGAGGTTTTTTTCTTTTTGCAATGGGCCTTCCAGTGCTAGCGTTCTATAGGACGGAGGAGTGTCCTACTCTCTATGGGGCTGCATGGGAGCAGGGTTTACTACACAGGTGTGGGGCGGGGGCTACTTTTCTCTAAATGCTTTCTACTGCATAGGCCCCAGAACTGATGCACTGTGGGGAGCTGTGAAACAGCCTATACAGTACTCACTGGGGCTGTTCGTTTGCAGGAGAGGGATAGGCTTTCTATTGCACGGATCCCCAGATGGAATTCTATGGGGCTGGGGCTGTTCTTTTGCAATGGGGCTTCCAAAGCTGGCCCGTCCTCTGTGTCTGTGGGGCTGTCCTTGTCCATTGCGGGAGGAGGGCATATTCTGCACAGACCCTGGGCAGATGCCCTATAGGGCTGCTTGGGTTGCCTGGCTTCTATGGGGCTGGAAGGGGGCGCTCTTTTGCAAGGGGCTCTGGAGAAGGGGGGTCTTTTCTCTCTCTCCGCAGACTCCCCTCTCCTAGGACTCACCTTGAGGGCCGCCATGGCTGGTGCTCCGGTTGCAAAGGCCCGCTGAACGATCCCTGCTGCCGACCAACCCTTTCCAAGAGGGGAGCCTGAACTTGCTCCCCAGCGGCGACTCAGCCAGCCCAGCACCTCCGCCCCTTTCCACCTCGTTGCCATGGAAATCGCGGGAGTGACAGCTGCCACGGCAACCCCGGCCCTTTGAAGTCCTCCTCCTCCAAGTTCGTGCAGGCGCAAAGCACCCAGGCCCGCTTTTTAATTCCACCGCAAGGGGGGCTAGTGGGGAAATTTGCATGCACCTCATTTGCATGCTTCGGAATTATCACGATCGGCTCGGCCAGATTGTCCCAGTTCTACGACCGTATTCATGGAAGACAATCTTATTCGGCTAGGAGTGATAGCCAAAGAAGACACAGAAATAATTTCAGTGGCACTTACTCACAGGTAGGCGTGCAGCCTACTTTTGCAGGATATGAACATCTGGGCATTTATTTCCTAAATATGTACGTCCTATTGAACACCGTGGGAAATTTGCTCTCGAGGAAGCACGCGTAGCCTCAGCAGGCAACACTCTCGTATGCTGATCATCCGGGATTAAACCTCATGAAGTTCACGAGGACCTACTGTACTCCTGAGTAAATGTGGCACAAGCATGGGCTGCAACAGGTTCCAGTCTTTATGTACATTTTATCGGGCGTAAGCCCCACTGATGTTTAGTGGTGGCTCACTTCCGAGTAAGACTTTTCATACGCCACGCGTGTTTGGGGAGTAGGCCCATCCTTACGCGCACAGATTTCCATGTTTTTACTCGCAAAGTAAATCCCAGTGATTTTAGTAGCGCCTGACTTGGGAGCTGTGTCTCATAGGTTTTAACGGCATTTATTTCCCGAGCAGACACAGGAGTAATCTGCAAGGCTGCAAAGCACCGCAGTTCAGTGCTTGCTTGGAATAAGAAGACTGTTGGACAGAGGGAGTGACTTCTGAGTTAAGCACGTGCAGGATCGCGCTTGCTTGCTCGGCCTTCTTTGCATTCTAATTTCAAACGCTTTGGCTTTCGAGTTGCGTAATAAGGCCGCTCCTCACTACTTTGTATTGGCAAATAAGCCTGCCAGTTCTACGAGGTGCGCACTTTTTTTGTATACCGACCGCGCTGTTTACAAACACTTAACAATACAGTATGGCTATTTGACACATTTCCAAGCAACCTCGGGTTAGAAAACAAACGCTGCCCCACCTACAGCTCCACGTGCTTGGGAACAAAAACTAACCGGAACTGACTGGGAGGAAGGTCAGGTTTCTCATACGCGCGGGAGGGCCGCTGCGCATGGTCGCCGGAAGTGAGTGATAAAAGACCGCCGGAAGTGGGTGAGAAAAACCGGCCTTTCAACCAAACCGGAAGTTGTCCGAAGCTTATTACGCACGCACATGTTACCTTCGCTTGCTTTGGTGGCCGCTGTCTTGAAAACATGAAGCTCCTGACGCACAACATGCTCACCTCCCACGTGCGAGGAGTGAGGCCCGGTGGAGGATTCCCCCTTCGTATCCAGGTAACGGGGATTTCTTCAGACCACGCCCACTTTCCCACTCTAGAATTGGGTGGTGGGAGCAGAGTATATATAACGTGGGGACTTGACAGCCAGGGTCCCTCCTTCACACTCACCCGCCGCTTTGTTAGTTTTTGCTGCCTAACTGGAATCTGGTGTTTATGCTTGCTGACAACAATCACCAGTAATTAGTATCTCTATAGTGCTTGCTATGAACAATCATTTAGCTGAAAAACAACGCTGTAAGGTTGAGCTTGGTCTCGTTATTTACTGTGTTTATATCCTACCTTTTGTCCAAGGGACTCAAGGTGGAGTATGTGGAATACAGCATTGCTGTCTTATATCAAGTCAGATTGTTGGTCCATCTAACTTTGTCGAACTTGCTGGTAGTGGCTCTCTGGGGCATCAAACAGAGCCTCATTGGAAATGGCGTATATTAAAACTCTGATTTATTTAAACACACACGCACACATCTTCCCCCTAAGGCCACTTGCCAGTTATGTGACAAGTGAATTAGTGGCTTTCTAGTTCAGTTTCTTAGCCACAATACTGCATCCACTCTCATTTATATAGCACATTTCATGTGCTGAAATTTCTTTATTTAGATTGTTAGTAATCTGTAGGCTATTATTGTTGTAGATTTGTGGTGCAGAAGTAATACACATCAGTTTTGTCATATCTGCTTACAGTCCAGTCCTACGTATATCTGCTTGGAAATAATCCCATTGAGCTCAATGGAGTTTATTTCCATAGAGGTTGGGATAGGTTTGCACCATTAGTAGGTTTAGTGCCAAAATGGAATTCTGTACCTGGGACTTCACATGTCATGCCTTTGTTACCATACTGCATGTGACATAAAGCTCTGCTGCAGGGGTGGCCGATGTGGAGCTCTCCAGATGCCATTGTACTACAGCTCCCATCAGCTTCTGCTAGCATGGTAAGGGATGATGGGAGTTGTAGTCCGAGTACATCTAGATGGCACCATGTGGACTATGCCTGTTCCAATACCATTCTCTCTGTCCTCCTCCCCCTCCACCCCTCCCACCTCTGGGAATCCTACTACACTTAGAGAAATGCAGGGGAGGAAATATTTGTTCCCTTGTTCTTTGAGCCACACTGCTCTCCCATCAGCCTTTCCCCCCTCTAACAGGCCACAGAAGTGAAGGTGAACAATGTTGATTTCAACCCGGAGTTCACAGCACGGATGGTACCCAAGGTGGAATGGGCAGCTTTGGTAGAGGCAGCGGAGAGTGTGAGTAATTGGCTCTGGAAGTTTTTTTGGGGGGTAGGGGGAGACTGGCTAGAATTATAGAGGTGTAGTCTCTTTTTTCCCTTCCTACAGCCAATTGCTATTTATATTTTTGTATGTGTGTGTACACACCCACACCCACACGATTTCCTCCATTTACTGTAAACCACCCTAGGAATTTATGAACTGAAGGGTGTTGTATGCCTAAATAAACTTGTGTTTAGACTTCTGCACAGTCTGGAGAATGGACAGCTTGTATGTCTCAAATGAACCAAGTGACATAGGAAGGGGAAGGAGCCCACAGATTTTCAAGTGTGTTACTTGACTGGTGGAGATCTAAGGCAAAGAGCATATAGGTTCCCCGCAGTCAGTCAAGACTGCCTGTGGAGGACAGAAAAGTTTTCCATTCCTGACTTGGTGGAGGTGGGCCTACCCTGTCTTCTGCCGCCACCTGAGCAGACAAATGCCAGAGCGAAGCTCGTGGGTGGAGTAAAATATCCAGTATTTGGTGGTTAAACAGAGATAACTGGTCCTTGAATAGTGGAAGGTTGTGAAAATGGCACAAACTGTTATATTCTGCACCCTTCTGCAGTTGGGTCACCGATCAGACCTGCCCCCTGAGCCCATCCCTGACTTCGAGAGCAATGAGGATTTCCTTCGAAAAGTCCATCATGTGCTGATGGAGGTAAGGGAACCTCTTCTTTGCCTGTTTCCCACCCCGACCCACAGAGTGTGACCACTTGCCTCAATTCCTAGGAACAAAATCTAGCATCTTTCCAGTGCTGTGATATCTCCACCTATCTTCTCTCTCTTCACCTTGCCACTTCCTGTTTTCAACTCCCAAAGTGGTGTGCAGTTCCCTTTACCTGCTGTTTTTATATTTCTTCTTGTGCAGGTGGAAGTGGTGGAAGGTGTGCTGAAATGCCCAGATACTGGGCGTGAGTTTCCCATAACTAAAGGGATACCCAACATGTTGCTGAGCGAAGAGGAGACTTGAGCTGGTTTGTGTCAGTGGAGCTTTGAGAAGCAAGCCTTGCGGGTGAGGGAGGGTGGGATATGTTCCTGTGGAAAGCCCAGCACCCTTATTTTTCTGTTGGGGGGAGGAGATGCTCTGAATATAATATTGGGTTGCTTTTTTGTGCATGTAAATAAATGCAAGTTCTTGAATCTCGGTGTGTCAATTTAACTGTGTGGATCTCTTGTCGTTGCCCCTTATTGTGCAGGTGCTTGATCTCCCCGTTTCTCAGCCTTATTCTTCAACGTTTTTAGCAGACGCTTCTCTTCTTCCTCTCCCAAGAATACAGAGTGGGTTTAACTGTGCAACGGAATGAGCTTGCAGAGTTCTGAGGTCCCAGAATGAACGGTGGTATTTTAGACTGCAGGCGGGGAATGCCATTTTTGAATGCACTCCTATATCAGTTTATTTAAAAACAACACACCTTGTAAGTAGAAAGTAAGCACAGCAACAGGAGCAGGGAGGCTCTAGCTCTCCCTGATGTGCTAGGTTTTTTGTTTAATGTGCAGGGTGTTCTTTGCAAATCAGGACAGCTTTCCAGAGTAATTTGTGGCCTGCAGACATATGTGGCTCAGTCATCTGTGGCCTGATGCTGTTTGTTCAAGCGGGCAAAGTGGCGCTATCCCATCACCGCTCAGACTCTGCCTCGGTTATCAGGAGGCAGAATTTCCTCATCCTGAACTTTGAGGGGGTTAGATGGGAAAGTGCATTCACCCTCCCAGAGCTCCACTCAGTATTACAGAGAATTCAGACAGGGATGGCAAAGTCTTTTTGATCTGAGGACCACATTGACACTCTGCCACCCCTCCAAGGATCTCTTGCCTCTTTCAGCTGGAACGTGTGCCAGTGGTAGGTGGGGGAAAGCAAGCGGGATATTGGAGGAGATTCCAGAAATTTCTACAAATTCACAAAGATCTCTTCATCCAGGCCAGTAAGAAGCATGGATTATCAGAGTTCAAGGACACATTCCAACCAGGGAGGCTACACAGCAAGACGAGGAAGGGGTGTGGCCTAGGGAGAATTCCAAGAATCTGATAGGTGGCGATTTATAAAAAATAAATGTTGCGATGACCTGCATGGCTTATACAAAAGAATTAGATCATTTCTCATGGAGTGGCTATCTTAAGCTCTGCCTCCACTGTCAAAGGCAGTATGGGCCTCTGAATACCAGCTGCTGGGGAATCACAAGAGTTGCTGTTTCACTCGGATTCTGCCTGTGGAATTCCCATTGTGTTATCTGGTCAGTGTGAGAAAAGGAAGCTGGACTGGACAAGTCTATGTTCTTAAGGATAAGTCTTTGGGAAGAAAAACTGAACTATATATCAGAAAGCCCCAGCATCACACCCTCCAATATTTCACTGATGTAAACAGGGAGTCGTTTGTAAGACCTCCAGCCAGTTTATCCCATTTGACCACCTTATGGATGGTTTCTTAGGCCATTCATTCATTCCTGGGGTACTTGTAATTGAGATGACAAGCTCAGCTGACTTTTTCCTAACAGCATACATTGCTTTGTTGGCTGCTTTGCAGCCCAAGTTGTTGAGCTTTTATTAATAAACCAAAGTTTCTTGGGAAATTGCGGGTAAAAATACATTAGCTTCTGCTGGGGTGGGGGGAACAGAACCTCAGGTAATTGAGTACTTTCAATGCTTTTAAATACTTGTGGATCCAGAGGGCACACCTGCCCCCCTGGGCTATGCCAGTGTGTTTTTCCCAGCCTCATCACACAGCACACAGGAAGACAACAACAGACAGCAGTTGACTGTCAGGCCGCAATGGCCTTTTTTAATTTGTTCAGTAATAGAGCTCTCTATGAATGTGTATGTGTAGCCGCCTATACACAAATCAGAGGTATTTATAATATGTACACACACATAATTTAATACAAAAAAAAAAGTCTCCAGCTTCTCCTCTCCCCTCCCCCCCGCAACCAGGGCAAGGGAGGCTGCAGCCCCACCTCCCTTCCGTGTGTAGGTGGGGGGAAAGAAGCGAGCCAGAAATGGGGTAGATTTCTTTTTCCTGCAACAAATATACAGTAAAATATATTGCTATGTACACGGCTCTCAGCTACAGGCCATGCAGCCTCCCTCCTTGGTTTAAGTTAGAGCAGGAACAGGGAAGCTGCAGGCCACGGCAAGCGTCGTTGTTGGACTCCAACTCCCATCAGCCCCTGCAGCCAGCGTGGCCCATGGGAGTTCTAGTCCCAACAGCTGGTGGGCCAACGTAGCTTCCCCACCCCCCTGGTTTGGCGGGTCAAAAGGGAATTAAGGAGAGGCGGGGAAGAGGTTTTATTTATTGCTTTGGGTGTAAGATGGGGTTGGCTTAATGGGGGCGCAGGGAGGAACTAGCTGCGTAGCCTCGTAGTGTGAGGGGAGTTGTGGGAGCGGGGTTGATATGAAATCACACCTGAAAAAAAAAGCACAAATTGCCTTTTTAACTATTGCTACAAGGGAATTAAGTGAAAGAACTTTGGATGGAGCGTGAAAGGCCCTGCCTTTTCCCTTCTGCAGAGGAGGAGCGGGGAGGGGGGGGGCTGGACTCCCACCACTGCAGCCGCACACTCAAACACACCCCTTTCCCCACTTTTTTTAAGGCAGACTCCATGCAAAGCAGAAACGACGTAAGACACAACCTCCTCTCCCCCCTGCATCATGGGGACCCTCCCCCAAGTTTTTAAATTATTATTATTATTAATATTATTATTATTGCTTATAAGTGATAATGCAACATTCCCAGAGGGAGGGTGGGCCTTTGTGAGGGAAAGAGAAACGGGGGGCGGACTATTGTCCCCTGAGAGACACCCTAATGAAGAGACTCGGTACTAAGGAGGCAGAAAGGTCAAAAAGAAAAGAAAAGTGTTGTGGGTCTTCCTTCCCCTCCACAAATCTCTCTCCCTCCTTATTTTTGGAGAGCTGTGGATCTACGGTTTCGACACTCTCACCCTCATTAAGGTGCATTTGGCTGGGCCCAGCCCAGTGGCAAAACCAAGATGGCGTTTGAGTGGTGTAGGAAAGAGGTCGTGAACCTGCTGTCTCTGCTCTCCATCCCGTGCTATCCTGTAGCTGCATCCTGGGGCAAGAACAAACCATTCAACCCCACCCCCCCAACACACACACAGACATGCACACACACACACAACCCTCCCCAACAACCACCCTTCCTCTCCCTCCTCCATGCCTCGCAAATGCAATATGGCTTCCAGGCTAGCAGAGCTACAGTGGCTAACACCCACCCCCTGCCCTTCCCCAAGTTAATAAATTAAAAATTAAAGTATGGCTTCCAGTGTGAATGTCAAAACTTTCTCTTGTCTCCCTTTCTCCCTGCCCCATGTTGCGGCAGCCCAGCCTCTGACGTCCAGAAGGGCTGGTGGTTTGTGTTTTTTTTTAAAAAAAACTTCTCTGCCTCCCCCATGGGGTCTGTTCTCTTCAGAAAAGAAAAAAAGTCAGCCTCAGTGCAAAGCAATGGGCAGCTATCACATTTGCATACATTGAAATGCATTTTTTTAACATGAGGCAGATGAGCGGCGGTTCTGGGAGGGGGGGGATTGTGTGGGAGGGGAAAACCCAAGCCCCGTTCCATTTCTGCACGCGCGCCCCCCCCCAACAATCCCCCATAACCAGTCAGTTTGTACTTTGCTCCCCTCCCCAAATCCTGTCCCCTGCCCTCCCCTCCCGGCCTCCTCCTTCAGTCCATCATTGCTTCCAGCATCTCCAGGAAAAGCTTATGCATGGGGACCTTGCCCTCCAGTTTGAGGCTGTAGAAGTGGTGGAGGACGCGGGTGGCTGTCTGGCGGAGGAGGGGCAGCGTGAGGAGGAGGCGGCCGGCCCGGCGGGGCTCCTCGGGGCGCCTCGACGCTTCGTATTCCAGCAGGGCCTCGTGTAGCACGTCCCGGAGCCGCTGCACGGCTGCCATGTCCTCAATATGTACCGAGTCTGGAGGAAACAGGAAGGGTGGGAAATAGATGCACACAGCAGCGATTAGGACCCCCTAGCTTGATGGGAGAGACTACGGCAGCTTCAGTAGCCGGGAGTGCCTTTTGCCACTCTTGTTTTTTTGTTTTTTCAAAAATCTTATTGATTTTCCAAAAATTTTAAACAAACAAACAAACATAAATCTCAACCATATTTAAACCTACTTAGTAATATTGTTAAGTGACTTCCTCATATCCCCCTGGTTGAATTTCAGTGTATATAATTATTAACGGTTTTCCAAAACCAATATTTTTATAAAATTAACCTGATCACTTAAAATCTTCTTTTCTCTCCAATTCGGCATTAAACATATTAATTCATCACACTGCATATTTAAATCCTAAGCCTATCTGGTATTTGCAAGCTTTTCCAATTAATTAAACTTAACAAATTTAACTAAATAATCTTTAAATTTCGTCCATTCTTCCTGGTAATCTTCCTCCTTTCGCCTCTCTTGGACAGGGGCAGCCTGGCCATGTTGAATCATGCACTGAGATTTCTGAGGGACACTTTTTAAACCTGTATAGGGATGTTTATAATGTTTGATGTTTCATTATGTTTCTGTATATGCTGAAAGTCACCCAGAATGACTCAGGAAACCCAGTCAGATGGGTGGGGCTCTAATAATAATAATAATAATAATAATACTATTATTATACAATGCCCACCTGGCTGGGTTTCCCCAGCCATTCTGTGTGAATCCCAACAGAATATTAAAAACTATAAAACATCTAACATTAAAAACTTCCATAAACAGGGCTGACTTCAGATGTCTTCTGAAAGTTGTGTAGTTGTTTATTTCCTTGACATCTGATGGGGGGGGGGCGTTCCACGGGGCGGGCGCCACTACCAAGAAGGCCCTCTGCCTGGTTCCCTGTAACCTCACTTCTTGCAGTGAGGGATCTGCCACAAGGCCCTCGGAGCTGGACCTCAGTGGGGGGGGAGGGGACATGCTCCTTCAGGTATACTGGGCAGAGGCCTTTTAGGGCTTTAGACTTTGGGCTAGTCACATACCCACCTCACAGGGTTGTTGTGAGGAGAATATGGAGAATCTGGGCAGAGCAATGTATGCTACCCTGGAGGAAAGGTAGGATATAAAGGAAACAATAAACATTGTGGGGAAAGCCCCCACCTCACGCGCCTGGCATCTCTCTGCCTGTGAAAGGGACTCACCTGAGTTGGCAAGCGCCAAGGCCTTGAGAAGCACATATTCCTCTCGCTCCAGGCGCAGGGCCCGGTACTTGCGCACAAGCTGCAGGACCACCCCACTGAGCTCCAGTAGCCCCGCCGCCCTTGCCGCCTCCTCGTCCAGAGCAAAGTCCTCCGCGAAGACGATTTCGTCCTCGCAGGGCAACGAACGCCAGGCCACCCCCAGCAGCAAGACCTCCAGCCACACGCTCTGCAGTACAGACATCTGGTCCGCCAAGGACAGCGCCGGAAATCCTGAGCCAGGAAGGACAGAACAGAAAAGAAAAGGATGAAGAGGGATTAATTCACAACTAACCAGCTGTTTGCAGGGTGGCCTGTGGCGAGCAGAAATTGATTCCAAGCAACCAAGTGTGGGTGCTTAGAAATGATTCATTGCTTTTTTTGGATGAGGTTTCTGTCAGGTGGATTTGTAGCCGGTTGACTGACTGAACCCAAAGAGTACTCATTAATGGTTCCTCATCATCCTGGGGAAAAGTGACAAGCGGGGTCCTGCAGGGTTCTGTCCTGGACCCATTGTTGTTCAACATCTTTATAAATGACTTGGATGAAGGAATTGTGGGGAAGCTCATCAAATTTGCAAATGACACCAAATTGGGAAGGGTAGGTGAAAGAATCGTGATTCAAGATGACCTTAGACTAGAGAACTGGGCCAAAACTAACAAAATGAATCTCAAAAGAGACAAATATCAGGTTCTACACTCAGGCAAGAAGAACCAGCAGCACAAATATAAGATGGGGGACACCTGGCTTGCTAGTAGTACATGTGAAAAGGATCTAAGGGTCTTAGTAGACCATAAGCTTAACACAAGTCAACAGTGTGATGTAGCAGCAAAAAAGCTAATGCTATTCCAGTCTGCATCAACAGAAATGTAGCTTTCATATCAAGAGAAGCAATAGATCCCTCCCAACTCTACAATTCTATGAATCTATGAATAGAGTGGTACTATTTTGCCTTGATCAGACCACACCTAGAGCACTGTGTCCAGTTTTGGGCACAATTTAAGAAGGATTCTAACAAGCTGTGCAAAGGAGGGCAACCAAGATGATCCAGTGTTTGGAAGCAAAGTCTTATTAGGAACGGTTGAGAGCTGGGTATGGTCAGCCTGGATAAGAGGAGAGTGAGGGGAGATAGGATAGCCATCTTCAAGTATTTAAAGGGTTGTCACATGGAAGGTGGAGCAAACTTGTCTTCTCCTGCTCCAGAGGGGAGGACTCCAAAAAATGGCTTCGAGCTAGAATAAAGGATTTTCCAACCAGACACCGGGAAGAATTTTCTGACGGCAAGAGCTATTTGACAGTGGAACAGTCTTTTTCAGAAAGTGATGGGCTCTCCTTCATAGGAGGTTTCTAGACAGAGGTTGGATGGCCATCTGTCATGGATGCTTTAACACGTAGCTAGGAGTTGCCGGGAGAGAGTGGATGGCAGAAAGAGAGAAAGCAATGAGGTGCCCCACGCACCATCACCAACTCTGGATCCCAACGGAGTATTCCTGAGCCTTGTGCCAATCTCAGCAATGGACCAGAAGTCGTTGTGGGTCTTTGGACAGTGGCAAGGTAATATCTGTGCAAGCCAACCCTTTTCTCTCACCTGGTATGTTTTTGGCCCAGCCGATGATGACCACGATCTCCCGGTCAGCCAGATCGCACAAAGTGCTCGCTGCTTTGGCGGGACTGTCAGGAAGTGCAGGGTCGGGCATGGCGTACAGCTTCTCAGGCTCCGCCACCAGCAAGTGCGACACCATTGTGTTCATTGGAGCTGCAGGGAGCAGGGGTGGAAGAAAGGATGTTGAGGATCAAAGATGAAAGAAAGAGAAGTGTCAGGAGTAAGCTGTACACTCCAGATTCACAAATCTCCCTTTCTTTGCTTGGGGGAAGTATCCCCAAATTCAGGTAATGCTGGTTCGCAATTAGGCCAGGGACAGGGAGCCAGTGAGCCCATCAGAAGCTGCTGGACTACAACTCCCATGATCCTTGATCATCGATGATGCTGGCTGGGACTGATGGGAGTTGGAGTCCAATAGAGTCCAGAGGGCCACACGTTCCTCAGCCTTGATCTAATCAGGGAAGTGGGCCAAAGGAGGCCAGGGCCCATTTCTCTCTCTCATCTTTTCTCATTTTGCCATCAATCATAGCTGTACCTGCCAGCCTAAGAGCCACTTTAAGCACAAGAAAAATCAAGATGACACAATCCTCCTGGAACTATGGCACTCCAGAATGCATCACACATGTGTGTGTACGTGTTTGTGGGTAAAACACATGTCTGAACGCTCCCCAAAGATAGAACAGCAACTTCTTCCCTGCTTGTGGGAAGTTAGCCTATTAGGGATCCTGGAAAAACTGGTGGTTTTTGCTTTTAGTATTTTTTGTTACAACAATCAACGATAACGAACTTCAACAAAGTATGCAGTAGTGATGTTCTGGTCAAATTACCCACTCTCCCTTTTGAATTTGCATATGAGTTACAACACATTAAAGCACTGACGACTCTGCGGACAGCATAAGCGGGATTTATATTTGTAAACTCCTTAGAAGCCTGTTTAGCAGTAAGTGGCATATAAACAAATAGATAAGCTTTCTCTCAGATGCACCTGTTTTTTAATGTACATTACAAAGGGGAACATTCAATTGAGCAATGTCCTCCCCTCTCAATAGTACAGGCCCAGAGGGCAATACGGCATGTTCTACAAAACGAAAGTGTAGCTGTTAAATCCTGGCCTACGCTCTCTTCTTCTTCCTCCCAGGGTTGTGCCTGCCAGGTTGCCAAGGTAACAAGCGTTGCTCACATTAGAAGCCCTTTCCAAGGGGATAATTCCACAGTGAGAATGGTACCATTGGTGGCTACTTAAGGTTAGGAGGAGAGACTAAGGAAGCCCAGCTTCAACAAGGGGGAAAAGGCAGAGCATTTTCTGGTTCAATAAAACACTCCGGAGTCCAAGCCTATATGAGACACTTGTGGGGATAGAACCTCAGGCCCAGGAGTGAAATGCGGCCCTCCAAGCCTCTCTATTTGGCCCTCAGAACTCTCTTTGGGCCACACCTCTTCACTGGCTCTGCTTCAAACCCTCCTTAAGTGTTTTGGCCTAGCTGAACAGCATCCTTAAACTCTTGCTTGCTTGGAAGAATGGTACAGAAACCCGTGGTACAAAGGCAAAATAAATATTCTTTCAGTCGCCCTCTTTTGCTTCTGGACCTGCTCACCGCTGGCACGTGGCCCCCGGAACGTCGCCCAGAGGAGAATGTGGCCCCTGGCTTGAAAAAATGTTCTCTGGCTTTAGGATGGAGACATAGCCAAGTACACTTCTGTATGGGTCACACGCCCTGGGCCCCTTTATCCCCAAACTCTGGATAAGAGTCTGGGGTTCAGGGGGGCACCGCAGTCCTTTACCTGGTTTCTTGGTGGTCGCCGTAGCAATCTGTGGGGTGACGAATGCACTGGGGTAAGTGGCACCCTCCACCTCAGGCCGGCGCTTGTACTTCTGACGCCCTCCTCGCACCCGGTCGAGACGTACCCCTGGAGAAGACCAAAGCTGATTCAGAACATTTTCAACCTGTTAGGAGCTCGGTCTTCCTCCTGCAATTCCTCTCCCCCCCCACAAGCCATTTCACATTCGCTATGCACCCTCCTGCCCCGTCAACCTTGGCGCCACGCCCGAGGTTTAGGCCCCGAGGCCCAAAACCGTACCTTCCTTGAGCATGCCCACGCGCAGGCACTTGGTGAAACGGCAGGCCTGGCAGGCTTTCCGGCGCCGCTTTGTGATCTCACATTCGTTGGTGGCCGGACAGCTATATTCAATGCTGCCTGAGAGAGAAAGAGAAAGGGCCAGAAAGCTTAAAAAAGCTATAGTATAAATAATATATATGCATTTACTCAAAAATATTATTTGTTTATTGCATTTATATCCCACTTCCCTCCCCCCCAAGGAGCTCAGTGTGGCATATACGGTTCTGCCACTTCTCATTTAATTCCCACAACAACCTTGTGAGGTAGGATAGGCGGAGAGGAAGTGACTGAGCCCAAGATCGCCCAGCAAGTTTCCTGGCCAAATGGGGATTTGAGCCATTGGTCACCCAAGTCCTAGTCTAACATTCTAACCACTGTACTTCTTGACCCTGACTTTTGACACTTGAGGTGTATATTTTTAGGACCCACCTAATTTCTGTGTGATACTGAAATATTGCGTGTGTGTACATACACACACGCAATATTTCAATATTAATAATGTTTTAATTGTTGTAACCTGCCCTAGGACCTTAGGGTGAAGGTCAGGTAATAAATTGTAGTAGCAGTAATCAGCACTGGCTCTTGCATTTTGTTGAAAGAAAGCATTTTTATATCAAAATGATGTTTGAATTTTAAGTGGAAGCTTCAGTCATGAGTTCTGAGTTTTGGGGTATTTTGGGGTCTCTCGCCCATTAATAATTAATTAATTAATAGGGCATTTTAAATTCAGATGTTTTGTAAGGTCATCTCCTTTTGCCCACACTTTCCTGTCCCTGGTTTTTGTTTTGTTTGATTTCATTGGATTTCTGTTTTTAATTTGCTTTTAGAAGCATTTTACACTACTGTTCTACCGTTGCTGGGTTATTGTTGTTGCTTTATTTTTGTTTTAATAATATTGCTTAATGCTTTAAAGTCATACACCACTTAGAGGTTTTTTTTTTTTTTTAAATTAAGCAATGCTCCTAAATAAATAAAATAAAAACCTCTGTTCAAAGAAGACAAAAGTTTGCAGCCCACGTTAGTCATACACAGAGGAAATCCACTGATGTGAATGGACGTGACTAACTTAGGGTCATTGCCAGTCAGTGGATAATACTGAGCTAGATAAAGTAATGGCCTGACTTGAGATAAAAGTAGCTTCCTATGTTCCAAATGCCACATTCGCCAAGTGGAACCTCCAGGTGCAGTAATAGTATACCTCAAATTACTGGTTATGAGGCTACTGCCTTCACAGCCTGTTTGTGGGCCCTTCTTGTGCTTTTATCCATCAGCCCCTATCCAGTGCTACAAAACAGATCAAGGAAGCTGTATCAGTGCAAAGGTTCAGGAATGACACAAGTTCAGGAAGTATTTCTTCATGGAATACATACTTAACTTATGGAATTCCCCCAGCACAAGATGAGGCAACAGCACTGAGCTGAAATGGCTCTTTTCTTAAATTCCGTAAGTTCATGGAGGAAGAGAAGTCTATTGGGGAAAGTGTGTGGCTCAGTCGTAGAGCATGAGACGCTTCATGCTCAACGTTTTGCCCAGTGTCGGGTTCAAGCCCAATGTTGGGCAAAACATTCCTGCATTGCAGGGGATAGGACTAAGTGATTCTCATGGTGCCTTCCAACTCTATGATTCTAGGACATCCAGAGAGAGAGAGAGTCTGTCTAAGGCCACATTCATACCATACATTTAAAGCAGCATTGTACCATGCTAAACAACCACATCTTCCCCTAGAGAATTCTGGGAGCTGTAGTTTCTTAAGAGTGCTGAGAATTGTTAGGAGGAGGCCCCTATTCCTCTCATAAATAGACGTTTCTGATGATTGTTAAGTAATCAATCCCTCTTCCCAGGGAACTCTGGGAATTGTAGCTTTGCGAGGGGAATAGGGGTCTCCTAACAACTCTCAGCAAACTAAGGCTCCCAGAATTCTTTGGGGGAAACCATGTCTGTTTAAAGAGGTATCACAGTGCTTTTAGTGTACAGTGCAAACGTGTCCAAACATGGTGGGGAATCCCTGAAGAACAGCCAGGAACAAAATAAGAAGTTCATAACATGAAAGGAGCTCTGCTCGATTAGGCCAAAGGCCTGTCCAATCTCAGCATTCTGTTCTCACGGTAGCCAACCAGATGCCTATGGGAAGACCACAGGCAGGACATGGAAGCAACAGAAGTCTCCCCACTGGTATTCAAAAAGTAGGCTGCCTCTGATTCCAGAGGTAGTCTAGAGCAGCGTTTCCCAAACTGGGGTCTCCAGCACTACAACTCCCATGATCCCTAGCTAGCAGAGCCAGTGGTCAGGGATGATGGGAATTGTAGTCCAAAACCAGCTGCAGGCCCAAGTTTGGGAAACACTGGTCTTTCCCCCAGACTTTTGTCTCTCCACACTGTGCCACATTTTATGCACCTCTACCAAGTCCCCGCTTACTCTAAACTCCCAAAGCCTCAAATACTGGAGCCTTTCCTCACAAGCCCACCCAGGGATGGCTGTGGGCAGAATTCCTGAATTGCAGGGGGTTGGTCCCTTCCAACTTTACCATTCTTTGATTCTAAGGGAGTTACTTCACCCCCTTGTTCAGTTCTTTTTCTTAACCTTTTCCAGCTCTACAAGATCCCTTTTTCAGGCATGGAAGCCAGTACTGTACACAGTATTTTAAGTGCGTACTGCACCATAATTTGCATAAAGACATAATCTTGGCAGTGTTTTTCCCCAGCCCCCTTTTCAAACCATTTCCTAAGGATTCCCAACATGGAATTCACATTTTTCACAGCTGCTGCACACTTGATCGCAGCAATTTAATTATAGTACTTCTTACAGACCAACTTGGCAAAATGCATCCTATAGGTTGGTGCTGTTTGCCACAGCAGCTAGGAATTTACATTCAAAAGGTGGTGGTTTTTTTTAGGAGGGGGGTTATGGGAGCCCTTTTAATGATTTAACGAAGTGATGTGCTGATGCTGGATGCTGTAAATGTCAATTAAACTCTGTTAATGGAGAAAACTATGTGTGAGCAAGAAGCGAGGGTGTTTGCTTTTGCAAAGCCCTTTCATAATGCGCAATAAAGTTCATTCATACTCAGACTTCCTACAGTTTTATTAATCTCCACAAGTAAAAGGGACTTCTTTCTCCACCCCCTCCCCAAGTAAGCTGAACATTTAGGAAAGAGACCTAGAATATCCCTGAACAGCACAGCCCAACCCCCCATCATGGCACCAGCCCTGTTAACATCTGTTCACCGTGATAGCTAAATAGAACCTCACTTTTAAGAGACAGTCTACCAGAGGGGCAACAAGCGTCTCAGAAAGGTCTGTCTGTCATTTGAACAACAGGATGTGAGTCTAGATCACGGGTGGGGAAACTGCAGCCTTCCGGACTACAACTCCCATCATCCTTGACCACTGACGATGCTCACTGGGACTGATGGGAGTTGTAGTCCATCACCACCTGGAGGTCCAAAGCTTCCCCATGCCTGGACCAGATGACCTGATCTAGCAGGGGCTCTTTATTTTTAGGAACATCAGAAACCGCTTTATAGCAAGTCAGTCCATTGGTCCATCTACCTCAGTACTGTCTACCCTGACTGGCAGCTGCTCTCCCGGGTTTCTGGTAGGGGGTACTCCCAGCCTGACTCAGAGATGCCGGGAATTGAAACCTTCTGCATGCAAAGCAGATGCTCTCTCGCTGCCCTTCCCCAAACAAAGACCCATTTCCCCCCCCTAACAGCTTTAGGGGAACCCCAGGTTTCTCTTGCAGCGCCCAAGCAGGAGCGGCCTACCTTGGATAGTCCTCTTGAAGAAGGCCTTGCAGGCTTCGCAGGAGGCCACGCCATAGTGGTACCCTGAGGCAACGTCCCCGCACACCAAGCACAGCCGCTTGGGCATGGCGCTCAGCATGTACTTCCCCCGCCCCGGAGGCTCGTCCGGGTCGTCATCATGGCGTCGCCGGGAGGCCCCCGTCCCGGCAGGCAGCGCCCCAGCGGTCTCGAGCTCTTGTGGGGCCCCGCTGGCGCTGGTGTCGGAAGAGCCACTGGGACTGTGCTGGGCAAGGCTGTCTGGGGAGGCCGGCTCCGTTTTGATGAAAAACTCTGCCCGGCGTTCCCGGGATGACATGGCTGGAGAGGGCTGCAGGAAAGAGGACACAGATGGGGTGCGTCAGAGAAGAGCTGCCACGAAATACAAAAAAAAACTGAACCAGAAGGAATGTTGGAAAATATTTCCCCTTCCTAGGCCACATTCACAACACTACTGACGCCACTTTAAAGAGTCATGGCTCCCCCCCCACAGAATTATGGGAGGTGCAGTTTGTTAAGGATGCTGAGAGTTGTCCGGAGACCCCTGTTTCCCCCCAAAAGCTACAACGGCTGGAGCTCCCTGGGAAGAAAGATTGACTGATAAATCACTCTGTGCACTTTTAATTCTTAGGATGCTTTGAGGGAAAGTCATGACTGTATTGAGTGCTTTAAATGTGTAGTGTACATGTAGATCGAGCATCTTAAAAACTGACGGAGTTGCACAGGTTAAGTCCATTTTCTTAAAAAATGGACAGAGCCCTTCAGTGTGATAAAGCTTAAAGGTGGTGTTCAAAGGCAGATCTTTAAAATAATGACGATTAATACGTTTCTCACTCAGAAGGGACCACAATCACAAACAGAATTCAGCGGCCGGGCTGTGACAAAGAGCAGAGAGCCACAATGTGCCGTCCCAAATCCTGCCGTCACTTGGATGTGCGTCACAAACCCAGGGACCAGCATGGAATTTGGGGGGCTAGGCCAAGTTAGCCAACTAGGGGGAAGAATGTGACGACAAATCAATCAGAAGAACTGAGTCAGGGCGGGGGGGAGGGGCAACAGCCCCAGTACAGTGGTACCTCGGGTTACATACGCTTCAGGTTACAGACTCCGCTAACCCAGAAATAGTGCTTCAGGTTAAGAACTTTGCTTCAGGATGAGAACAGAAATTGTGCTCTGGCAGCGCGAGGCCCCATTAGCTAAAGTGGTGCTTCAGGTTAAGAACAGTTTCACGTTAAGTACGGACCTCCAGAATGAATTAAGTACTTAACCCGAGGTACCACTGTAATTTCATCAACCTGAGTTTAGGGGGCCTCCAGTTCCGCTGCTCAATCTGGGGAGCTGCCCCCCACTGAAGGAAGTGATAGCATATACCCCAATTCTACATTCAATTCCATTAATGGAGACATAGCAAGGAAGAGCTTTTGGGATGGCCAACCGTGGCTTAATGCAGACAGGCCAAGAGACTCTCTTCAAAATTTACTGCCTTTTTGGCAGCATCCGATGTGTGGGAATGCGGGGGGAGAGTGTTCCTCACTCCATGAAGGCCCTGCTATGTAGGCCTCCCCCGTCTTATCTCATCAACCTACACACTGTCCACCCCACAGCTGCTGGCCTGGGATCCAGCATCCCGCCGGAAGAATGGAGCGGCCTCAAGGTCACTCCAGGGAGATACAATCAGGCACCCAGGCAGGGCTGGCGATGGCATCAAAGGCAGTGCACTCTTGCTGCCTCTGGTCCGGTCCTGTCCTGTCCCTGACCGCCTCTTTGGAGAACAGCAACATTCTGGGGCTTCGAGAGTTAAATGTAAACACGCAGAGGACAGGAATAGCCGCTTGGCTCAGCAACCTGACATCTCTTCTCTCCCCCCTCCCTGCCCCTGCAACTTCAATGCAACAAAGATTAACCCTCCCACACACGAATTGTGCCCCCCTCCCATCTCCTGCACACCTTAGCTTAAGGCTCTCTGCCCCCCACCTCTTCTGGACACTGGATTGTTGAGGTTTCCTTCCATAGCCAGCCAAGATTTCATACTGATGTCCTGGCTACAAATTGGGAGGTGGTGTTGTTGTGTCTCTCTGCCCTCCCCCTTCTGAGTTTGGAGAAGGGGCAAAAGTGACCAGGGAGAGCCGTTTTTAAATACCCCTCCTCAAAGCAACTAGGCCTGCAGTGCAGGGATGAAATGCAAATATGACTTTTAAATTGTACTGCTTTCACATTTTGATGTTTGCCGCCCTGGGCTCCTTTGGGACGAAGGGCGGGATACAGATTCCATAAACAAACACATAAAATTGATGAAAATATTACTAATATTAAGCACCTGCGGTTCATTACCTAGCATTATTCGTGTGTTCTGAGCAGTGCCCTGAGCGAAACAGAAAGTCCAGTAATCACCCTAGGACAGCGTCTTTAACTCCAGGCACGCAAGACACCTCTTAGCGCACGCTCTGCCCCCGCACCCCTAAGTGACACCCCCTCTGTGTCTCTATTAATAGGTTTACCCTCCCCACTTTTGCCAGGCCAGTCAAAGGACCTTTGTCCTCTGTGGATCAGTGCATCATCCCTTACCCAATCGGGGACAAGAGTGGAGTTTATGCAAGAGGAGGAGGGGAGCAGCATGGGCCAGAGAGAGGGGGCTAGGAGACATTGCCCAACTTTCTCCCATCCCGCCCCCCCCAGCAAGCAGAAGCCATTCAGAAAAGTCCACATCGGCCTCAGACTTTCGATCGTTCTCAGGACTCCATAAAGCAGGAGACTTTGTGAAATCAGGGCAGCTGTCTCAACCTCCCGGACACCTCTGCACACCACCTCCCTGCAGCTGAACAATGTGTGGTCATGTTTTCTTGGGCTCCATGTGGAAAGCCTGTGTGCCCATGACCTTTGACCCTTCTGCAGTTCACTTCTGTCACTCTCCCCCACACACCCCACTTACTACGGGCCGCAGTGCCCCCTAGTGGCCGAGCGGTGAGGCCAGCTGGGCAAAAGAGACAGGGCACTCTCATGTCTGAGCCCTCTCCCTTCACACGTGCCCAGGCGCGCATGAGTTTGCTATGCACATGGCTGCGAAAGGGTTTCCCCATCCTGGCAGCCGCAGAGGGTATATGCAGACCGTGTCTGTACACACAAGGGAGACTTCTCCACTCATCTGGGCTTCAACACTTCAACATCTCCATGTGCGGCTGTGAGCACATCAGTGCGCCCTCCTTGTACATGCGCAAGCATTTCTCTTTTTCTGACCGTGCCCTTGCACCTAGGCAAGCAGGCCTACACAGGTGCCTACGTGGGACCCACCTACACCTGCACAACACACAATATCCGCACTGTGTGACCTTAAATCATGTCCCCCACCCCCCGCCGGCTGCGCCATGCCCCACACTGCTTGTCCCCGGGTCTGCGCACTCTGCTGCAAGAGCACGACTCTGCCTGGCAGCGTCAACAGGGACATCCACACGAGCACTTTCATGCCCCTGATCTGTGCCCACACATCTCTCCACTCCCCCCCCACACGATTTTTGCCCTCTGCCACACCAACAGAGGCACCGCAATAGACGTGTGTACACCCGTAGTACACCGATGTCTATTTGCATGTGAGTGAGTTCTGGCGCACTTGGGGGCGCCGGCGCGTCTACCGACGCGCGTCTGCCCCCGAGTGGGGGGCACCGTGGTGTATGTGTGTCCCCCACTTCCAGAACCCTGCCTGCCCCCGCCCCCTATTTTCTGGATCGGGCGCTCTCTTTCCCTGCAAGGCAACCAACCTCCCACAACGAAAGCGCCGGTCACATGGAGCCGGTTTGGAGAAGGGGGCTGGGATTGGGGGGGGGGCGCGATCGTCAGAATACTCCCCGCTTCTTCCTCCTCCTCCTCCTCCTCCTCACGATCGCACTGACCTTGGTCGCAGCCAAGGGCTGGGAGCTGCAGGAAGCGCTGGCGGCGGCGGGGTCCTAGCTGTGTCCGAGCGGGGCGGCTCAGTGGCCCCGCGCGCCGGGGACCGGCCGGGCCATGGGCTGGGGCTGCGCGCTCGCTCCTCGCTCCGGCTGTAGGACACAAAAGGACATCGCAACCCACTTCCTACTCGGCTTCCTCCAGCTGGTGGGGGCGGGGCCTGGAGATGAATATGCAGAGCAGAGGGGCGGGGACAACGCGGTCCCCCCCCCCCCTCCAAGGCGCTTGCTGCGCTCTTCTCAACAACGCGCGCCGGCCGCGGCTGCTGGCAACGTGGCGCCCGGAGAGGAGCAGCAGCAGCAGGACGGGGGACGGGCGAGGGAAAGGTCGTCTCTTGCCCAACGCCCCCCGCGTGGTTGAGGGGCAACCAGCCCGATCGCGGGTGGGGGAGACTTGGGTGTGCGCGCGTCCCGCTCTCTCGCCGCAGCCCCGCTTCTCAAGGTCACCCGGGAAATGGAACCTACCAGTTAAGGAGAAGGAGCTCCGTGGAGCCTCCACTGCCAGGGGCAGTCTACCTCCTGGTGGGACAAGCAAGGAGGAGGGAGGAAAGAGAAGGAGAGCTTTCCGCGGGCAGGTGGATGGCCCACCGGCCAAGCCTGAGCCAGGCACAGCGCCGGCATTCGGTTCTTCTGGCCGTGGCAGCCAGAGTGCGGTTGACCTCCGCACGGTTTGCAGAAGCGAGTGAAGCATGTGAGATCCTGGCAGCGAAAACAGCAAGTGCGTTTTGTGGTACCTTAAGGCTTAACAAATGTGCCATCCGCAACCTTCCCCAACCTGTCGAGCTACAAATGGCATCACCTTAGCCAGCACTACTTCATTTAATTTATTATTATTATTATTATTATTATTATTATTATTATTAGTTTTATGTAGTTATAAATTATATATTTTACAATTATTTGTTACAAGTGGGTTCTGCAACAAAATGTTGCAGCATGGAGTGCTTCTGGTCTTGGCACCTGCTAGCTTGCCAGCTATGCCCTTTCCCAGAAAACTCCATTCCATTCCCCCATCTGCTTTCACATCGCAACAGTTAGCTTGCATTTTGTGCTCACTGAGCATGCTCAGTCCTTGAGGTGAGTGTGAGAGTTTCCCTTAGGATTCCTCCCCCTTTAAAGTTTTTTTTTTACCAGAAAGCCCACAACATACATTCATTTTTCTTATGCAAACACAACCTTACATGGGCGTCAAACAAACAAACAGATAGGAAAGACAAGGGGGAAAGCAAAATAGGCAGTAGAAAAACTGTCAGGAGGAGGCGGGAGAGCAGGAAACAACAACTGGCAATCCCATCAGCCATTGCACTGACCCTGGGAGAGTGTTTGGGCATCAGAGTTGGAGACTGAGAGCAAGCAGAGGCGGTCTGAGAGCAAGCGGAAGATGATCTTAGCCCTCCTGGCTTTACGTGTTTTTGCATTTGTGGGCTTACTGTATTTGCAAATCTTGAGGCTCCCCATAGCCTCTTCATGCCTTCCTCTTTTGCATGGACAGTTCTATTTTAGCTGCATACGACATGACCCTTAAGAATGAGAGATGGACCATAAAGAAGGCTGATCGCCGAAGAATTGATGCTTTTGAATTATGGTGCTGGAGGAGACTCTTGAGAGTCCCATGGACTGCAAGAAGATCAAACCTCTCCATTCTGAAGGAAATCAGCCCTGAGTGCTCACTGGAAGGACAGATCATGAAGCTGAGGCTCCAGTACTTTGGCCACCTCATGAGAAGAGAAGACTCCCTGGAAAAGACCCTGATGTTGGGAAAGATGGAGGGCACAAGGAGAAGGGGACGACAGAGGATGAGATGGCTGGATAGTGTTCTCGAAGCTACCAGCATGAGTTTGACCAAACTGCGGGAGGCAGTGGAAGACAGGAGTGCCTGGCGTGCTCTGGTCCAGGGGGTCACGAAGAGTCAGACATGACTAAACAACTAAACAACAAAAGATAGGATTATTATTAATGTTAACAACACAAGCTTGAAAGCTTGCCGCAACCCAGGGCCGTCTTTAGCAGATTGCAAATATCCGCCTAGCACCCCAGCGCAGGATAGTGGGGGGAAAGCTACACACTGCCAGCCATGGGGGGCCCCTGCAACTCTCCCCCATGCCGCTGTGGGAGAGCAATCCCCACAGAGGCTTGGGAGGCAAGCTGCACACCCGCCAGCCATATGGTGATGGGGCGCAGCTGGCGGGCGTGCAGGGAAAGGGGAAGCTGCCGACAAAGCTCCCCCACTCGCTGGGGCGCCCCTAAGAGGCTGGCGCCCTGGCACAACACACCACTAAGCCCTATGGAGAAGATGGCTCTGCCACGACCATAACGAGACATAACAGCAAGTGAAACTATGGCTTAGCGCAAGCAAGCTGGCTATGGTTTTGCTTAGCGTTACGTCCAAACTTGGGCTTGTATCTCCCCAGACAAACAAACCACAAACAATAAGACACAGAGCAAACCTTTGGCTACAAATCATGGCAACCCAACCACTGTTGAAAAACTTATGGAGCCACCTTTGTCAATGAAAAACCTCCTCAAGAGTTCTCACAAATAGATTAGTCTTCAGGGGCAAGTTGTTCAAATCAATATGTCACCCTGCAGAGGAGGATCATAGAATTTGGCACCATATCATAGGGTGTGTGAGAAAGGGGGAGAGGGAGAGAGGCAGAATTATTGGCTCAAGGCCACTGAGTCCGTTCATGACTGAGTGGGGATTCGAACCCTGATCTCCCAGGTCCTAGCCCAACACTCTAACCACTACACCACACTGGTTCTAGGCTGCCTTTCAAGACATCGCCCTCTCACAAAACTTAAGTCCATGCTCATATCAAATTCATTTTGAACAGCTGAAAAAAGAACGGTTTAATTAAAACTAGCCATTTAAAACCAGCAGCGATACGTGCTGTTAGAAAAGGTCGGCTGAGCCCAGCATTTAAATTACAAGCACCAGGGGAATAAATGGGTTTTAAACAGGCCTTGAAAACCATCAATAAGGCGATCAAATGTAAGACTGGGGGCCTTACAACATCTCCCTCTTTGCATCCATGAAATGTTGCAAGGTGCGATACTAGGGCTCTCCAGCGCTCTGATCCTCTAGGGTTGCTGGATCAGGCCTATAGCCCATCTAGTCCAGCATATCCTGTTCTCACAGTGGCCAAATCCCATCTATTACTATTATTATTATTATTATTATTCCGCCCTATACCCGCAGGTCTCAGGGCAGTTCAAAAGATAAAATCACAATATAACAAACACAAAATACATAATATAAATAAAAACAAGAACAACCCCAAAATCCCCGCTCCCTAACATATTTTAAAACGGCATTGGGTGTCAATGTTTAGCTGTGTGAAGACGTTCTTCCTTTTATCTGACCAGAATCTCCCACCATTCAGGATTATTTATTTTATTTATTTATTTGACTTATATACTGCCCTTCATCAAAAGATCTTCAGGGCGGCTCACAAGATGAAAACAGGAAATAAAAGCACAAATAAATAGTTAAAACAGAAATGACAAAACAATAACCACCACCCCTACAAACACATATAAAAGGCTATAGAATATTGATTAGGCAAAGGCCTGGTTGAAAAGGAACATTTTTTTGCCTGGTGCCTAAAAGTGTATAATGAAGGCGTCAGGTGAACCTTCCTGGGGAGAGCATTCCACAAACAGGGAGCCACTGCAGAAAAGGCCCCGTTCTCATGTTGCCACCCTCCGGACCTCTTCTGGAGGAAGTACACAAAGAAGGGCCTTAAGTGGTGATCGCAGAGTCCGGGATGGTTTATATGGGGAGAGGCGGTCCTTGGGGTATTGTGGTCTTGAGCCGTTTGAGGGTGTCTCTGGATTCTAGTATTAAGAGAGATGGGGCGGGCGGGGGGGGGGGGAGTCTCTCTGTCCGCTTCCTCCACGCTCCCTGCACAATTTTATCCGCCTCTCATGTTCCTCCCTTTCTTGCCTTTTCTCTGAACTTGGAGGAAAAAAGCCCCAAATGTTGTAAGCTTTCCTCCAACTCCCTCGATCCTTTCAGTCGCCCTTTCCTTGCGCAATGGCTTTCCTGCCTGCTGTGGGGCAGCGTGGTTCCAGTTGGTACCAGTTCTAATTGTCCCAAAGGGCGGGTGGGACCCACATGCGAAACCCGCCGCGCAACAAAGTGTCCTGCCCTGGAGCTCAGCTGCCCGGCCCCTTCTCGGCCTCCTCCTCCACCCCACCAGCCTTCACATGCATACCCTGCCCTGCCTTCTCCCACCAACCCGAAACACCCTGCACACGCCCTTTTCTCCTGGAGCGAACCCACTTCGCTTTGAGCGGAGGAACCAGCCTCAGCTACTCTGCCTGTTTTGACAAATCTTGAGTCATACGCTCAAGAATCCTCCTGCAGGGTGTGGGTGTTTCTTTTCATCTCCCTTCCCTGCCCCCCCCCCCAATACCACATCACCCTGCCTGCCTGCAGATCTGGCAGTGTTTCACAGGTGGGGGCTGTCCTGCCTGTTGCAAAAAGGGATTTCCCCACCCCCGGTTGAAGGGGCAGGCCAAAGCTTTGGATTCCGAAAGAGCCAAAACACAACCTTTGAAAACAGCATCTTACAACACAAGTAGAATGCAGCCCTCCAGACCTTTCCATCAGGCCCTTGGGACTCCTGCATTGCAGGGGGTTGGCCCTTGGGATCCCTTCCAACTCTACAATTCTATGATTTCTCTCCCCATGGCACACTCCTCGTTGGCCCTGCCTCACGCCCTCCTTGAGTGCTTTTGCCTGGTTGGAACATGTCCTTGAACTCTGATCATACTTCTTGCTTCTGCAGAAGCGATCTTCCTTTACGAAGGGGAAATTTACATTGGTTGCTCCTCCCACATTTTGCCTCTGGCCCCTCCCGCCACTGGCATGTGGCCCCCCGGGAGGCTGCCCAGAAGGGAATGCTGCTCTCAGGCTGCAAAAAGGTTCCCCACATACTGAAATCAGCTCCCCATGGGAGCACATCTTGAGGGCACCCTGGAGGAGGAATTAAGCCGATGGGAGCCAGGCAGTCATAGTGACACCTGAGAGTTGTTAAAGGTAAAGGTACCCCTGACCATTAGGTCCAGTCGTGACCAACTCTGGGGTTGCGGCGCTCGTGTGCAGCTTCCGGGTCA